GAGAGAAGGTTCTACTCCGGCTTCCCCCCACAGTCCAAAGACATGCAGTTAGTAGGGATAGGGTAATTGGTTACTCTAAATTGCCCATAGGTGTGAATGTGAGTTTGAATGGCTGTCTGTCTCTATGTATTAGCCCTGCGGCAGACTGGCGACCTGTCCAGGGTGTACTCTGCCTCTCGCCCTAAGACAGCTGGGATAGGCTATAGGCCCCCCGCGACCCTGACAAGGATAAGTGGAAGAGAATGGATGGATGGATGTTTAATTTTGGACACCAAAACCAAATGTTGGTTGTCAAAATTATTGGTCCGTCCCCTGAGCTATCCCACCCAATTCTTCCCAGGTGAATCTCTCAAGGTCTTTCAGATTTGATGATCTTCTGGCGTGAAATCCTGGTCCTCAGTTCACTTCACAGAATTTCATTGTGATTTAAGTGAGGGCTCCGTGCAGGTCAGTCATGTTTGGTCTTTTGGAGGTAGTTCTTCACCAGGTTTGGTTCGCTGTAGTGTTGGGAGACTCAGGACGACCTGGATCCAGTTTTGTTACTGACTGCGTGAGGTTTACTTTTAATATCTTCCCATATCCTTCTTCCTTTGGTGATTCCTTCCATCTTGACGAGATTCCCAGTTCCAGACGCACTGAAGCCCAATACTCCCACCACCATGTTTTACTGTCGAGGCGGTGTTCTCTGGGTTGTATGCCTCTCCCTTGTTTCTCCAAACAGCATCTCTGTGGCTAAAGAGTTTTAGTTTTGTCTCATCTGTTCTAAGGATGCACTTCCCTCACCATACCTCACTGTGGCCTGAAGTCATGTCTTCTGCAGAAGTGGAGTTTTTCTTGTTCCACAGCCCGGCAGTCCATTCCTGTGCAGACTTCTAGGACTGTCATCTTTAAGACTACAGTTCTAGACTTGGATAAGCCATTCATTCATGTCTTGGCAGTTGTTCTGTGGTCATTAGACACACCTCTCACTAATTTATTTTCAAAGTATTTTGCTTTCTACCACTGTCAGATTTGTTCTGGACGGCGGGGCTCTCTTTATAATTCTTGATAATACTTCAGTCCTGTTGATGACACTGTGACACTTGAAAAGCTGTAATAAATCTATATATCCATGTCCTGCTTTATGAGCATCAAAACTGATTTCTTTAGTTTTTAGCTTGATCCCTTCTTAAGTGACAACTCAAAGCCTAACCCATTTTTATAGTGTGTAAATTAGAAGATAAACCTCACTTTTGGTGTGATTTTACAAGCTTTGAACAAGTTAAAGCAGGTCATTGCACAGGAGTGGTTTGTGCTATGGGTCAATGAAAAATGTCAGATTTTCAGTAAGCTAATAATATTGACCCCACTTTTTTGTTTTTTCTTAATTAATTCTGAATAATGAATGATTTGTAAAGAAAACTAAACTAATATGTTTAAAAATTCAAGGTTCCACTGTTAAAAAAAGCACTTTGGAAGATTTTGTCAAAATCCTTTTGTCCTTATTTCAACTAAACATATTCATCAATAAGTGTACAATGCAAATGAATGTTAGGTAATTCATAGTTTAGGGTCATTTGTTAAATGGTTTAAAAAGTAAAAACAAATATATTAAAAATGTAAAAAAATCCAATGATCCATGATATTTCCATTTCTGCACATATATGCTCTGGAAATTGAATCACAACTTCCAGGTAGAGGGATAAATTGTTAAACAAACTTTCTCTTCACTTATCAAATCATTTGCTTAACACAAGCAGGGTGGAAACAGGCTGGAAATGTAGTTCATGATGGTTCTTAAATGATATTTTATGCACTGACAGTGGGAAAAAGGTTTGTAACAATCTGTTGCCAGATTGGGAGGTTATTTAAATCTCTGGCCTAAAAGGATTGTCCTGGTAGATTTTGGCAATTAAAAACCGTGACGGTGATTAAAAAGAGAAGTGCCAGAAATCCCACCTACAGTTCTTCCTATTAGCTGTATTTTTCTTGGTTTGATAGTGGGAAGTGCTTTTGTGGGTATGTGATTGGCACACACACACAAATATATATAAAACTGTTTGATGTATACAGGCCTGAAACAGAAAAACCGATAGCCAGAAAGAGATCTTTTAGTAGCCTGAATCTTCTCCAGCTTTAATTACACCATATTGATCAGAAGCAGGAGGAAGGAAAAGGAAGGGGAGATCGAGTGAAGAGAGGGAGACAGTTGGTGAAACTGTCTCTCTGGCTACGGCTGTAGTTACTGTAAAGCGTGTAAAAAAAAGGAGGGGGGCAGGGTGTTTGAGCAATTACTCCAAAGTCATACAGTAGATAATTAGAAAATTCCCCCTAACCCACCACAGTGTCTCTCTGCATACATCCATTTAGCTTAGCTGATACAATGAAACAGGGAGGGTGTCAAATTCATTTAAGTCACCAGCCAAAATGCATTGTTCACATCCATCTCGCAGCTTCATGCTTGGTTTGATTTGAAATTCTCAGCATTGATTTTTCGGTCCCTTGTGCCTTTGGTCTGCTTCTTTCTTGTAATCAGCTATAATAGAATGGTCATGCATGACACTCCTGGCTTCCCTGTACCAACTTTAGCTATATGTTAAAGATACTACTTCTGCAAAACTGCGCTTCTTCTCTCATTTTTAGGTTGACCTACTTTGGCAAAGAGCTTAGGTTCCTTCCTTTGTTTCTCGCACTGTTGTGGCAAGGGCAGAAAATCTGCAAACTCTCCTACTGTATTTTCCTCCACACCCACTCCTGCTTCTGATCCAGGCGGATGGTAGATGAGTCCAGCACAGTAAAATATGCCAGATTCAACCTCACTGCCCCAGCAAAAACTTTCCTGGCGCGTCTCACAGAACTGTATTCTGGGGGTTAAGGAGCTTATGTCT